ATAAGTGACTCTGTTCTCCGAGTCATGTGAAACGAGTTGACTTGTTCACCGATTGGTTCATCACCACACGAGAATATATGCAGAGGAAGTATCAGATCTTCCATTTCAATCTCAAGAAGAAAGACAGAAACTAGACGGTTGTTTTGAATTGAGATTTACAGTTTCTTTTCAATAAGTAAAAAGTGGAAACTGCTGCGGTTCTTGTTCTGACATTAAAGAGGTTATTGCCTAAAATGAGGGATTTAGTCTAAAATTCAAATTTTGGACGTAAAGATGCTTTACTAGTTAACAACCAAATTGCCTGCTACGAGGTTGGCGTGGGTCTATGGTGACAGGTTTACGCAAGTAGGAGGAGAGAGAAAGAGGGGCATTTTGGTCAACAAATTCGGAGGAGTCACGTCGTGTGCAAACCGCAAGTTAGGGGGTAAGTTAGGGGGTCGAAATGTGGTTTCTCAGCAAATTATCTCTTTGTGAAATGATTTTGATACATGTCATCACCAATATTGTTCCATGGAGCTAAGTGGAAGAAACATGTGTTTCTACAACTCTACCACCAAAAAAATGATTATATGCTCACTAATAATGATTACATGACTTTGAGTTAATGATGACATGCACATTTATATTTAATGTTATATATATTTTTGGTAAGTTTATAAAATATGATAGTAATTCATAAATTATTTTTGGTAAACACATGCATAATGATATTTACAATTTTTATGTTTATTATAATTTTTATTAATAAATTTTTAACATATTTTAACCACAATAAAAAAATAGAAATTTCTTTCCAAAATTTTAATTATATATATATATTGAATATAATTTAAATAAAAATTATTTATTTTATGTTAATTGTTACATAAAATTAATAATGTAACAAAATAATCAATTTAAAATTAACCAAATTTTATTTTTAAATAGAAATTTATTTTTAAATATAATTTTATTTTTAAAACTTTCATTTATGCACGTAGGCAAACACCTAATATATCTAAAGTAGGTTGTGATTTACAAATGATAAATATAAACAGAGTACCTTGACATGTATTACAGTGTTTATGTTTTTTTTTTGGTTAATCTAGTGGCTTAAAATATATATATATATATTTGAACTTAAGCTAGTGGCTTAAAATTGAAACCCAAATAATGTATGTTATTGTGACAAAATAGCAACAGGCAGATAATTTATATACTTACATATGCTTACTATCATATCGTTTTTTCATTACCTTAATTTCCTAAATTCTTCATGCATTAAAATTGATAAATATACTTAAACATTATTTATAGCTAACCACCATATCAACTTTAGATTTTTTGGCTTGATAACTTTCAGCTAACATTTGTCACAAAAAAAAAACTTTCAGCTAACCTAGTTTCAAAAACAAAACAAAAAAAACTTTCATCTAATTTTTGTCTAGCCGTTTTCTTTTCTAACTTTATCATTAATGTACTATAAATCTACTATAGTGACATGGCTGATCCTGACACAATTTCTCCCTAGATATTATCATAAGATGTTTTCTAAAAGTAGGTTTCAAGCTAACAAAGGCGTCAATGTTCTTTCCTCATATCAATTTTCCAACCAATTATCTAATATATGAACTGTCTGATTTTGACAAGATCTATGACAAGATATTATCCATAACCAAAGAAGGAAAATTGGAGGTAGTTTTTGAAGAATGAGAGTAGTTAAGAGATTTGAGAGGACCCAAGGATGAAGGATGAGAACCACAAAGAGTGGACCTTCGCTTTCTGTGATAAATTATTTTTCTATTTTTCTCTCTTTTCATTTACTGAAAATCTCTTACATATTATTTAAAACTCCAAAAAGACATTATTGAGGTGTTGTTATGAAAATAGTTGAAAAGGATATTTTTTTCGCTTTTGGATATACATGTTCATTAAATAGTATTATTTATTTATATAATCTTAGTTTGTAAACATCATGTAGGCATTACTCTGTGAAGTGGTATTTTCAAATTTAATTACATATCACCACCCTATTCATTCTCAATAAGAAAAAAATGATATGACTTTTTCTTTTAAAATGACATGATATCAGAATATTGTGACATATACAATTTTACCTAATGATTATTTGTATAATAATTTTAAGATTTGATTAAGTGTCATCATCATATTCATTCTAAAAACGAATTACACGAATTTAAAAGAAAATATTATATGACATTAATCTAACTGTGACATATATAGTTTTATTTTTTAGTAATTCATATATTGTTAGCAGGATTTTGAAATATGGAAATAATAAAACAAATATCCCATCTTATAAGTAAGATACATTTATAAATACTTATATTTTTTTAGCAAATTATTGAAATATGGTAATGACTAATAATTCATATATTAAATTATATATATCACACTGGTAAGCAATTAAATTAAGTATAGTATAATTAAAAATATAAAATATCTGCAACACCTTATATATCATATTTTATAATACATAAATATATATATAATCAAAACTAATTATAAGTGTGCCTTAACAAAAACAAAAACAAATATTAACCAAATCAAAATTGGGCGTTTTGCAAAAGTAACTTAAAATTTTAAGTCAAATGTAAAAATAACATTTTTTAGAATTTTCATTTGTTCTATTAGCCATAGAAATACAAGTTATTCAAGAAAATACCATTACATTTTTTTTTAAAAAAAACGATTATTTTACTCAATCAGTATCATCTTCATCAAGTATTTACAATATTTCAATTTTCATTGATACACTAACCATCATAAACAACTAATTTCATGCTCTAAATACACCTAAAATCAAGATATATTATCATTTCTTGTCCACACAAACCATCCCTCTTTCACTTTCTCACTAATCTTATCACTACCCCCCTCCCCCAACATTTTGATTACAAAATTTTTAAGTTTATCTAGTCACTCAAGTTTTTGATTATTGGTCAATAATGAGTGGGTATATTTTGTGGTGAAGTTTTTTGTAATAGGAGAAGTTAAGCAAGAAATCTCCCGGGTTATAGGTCTAATATTTGATTATGAGATATGTTCGCGAATAATACTTCTTTAAAAGTTGAGAAGCCGACTTCTGGAGAAGTCTTCTGGTCAATGATAAATTAGTTATATGATTGAGTATTTTGTGTGTTTTTGGTAGAATTTTTTTTTAATTTTTCTTTGTAACCATAGAAAACAAAGAACTTCTCTCATAAGCACGACTTATGGGAAGTCTTTTGGTCAATGATAAGTTAGTTATACGATTGACTATTTTGTGTGTTTTTGGTAGAATTTTTTTAACTTTTCTTTGTAACCATAGAAAACAAAGAACTTCTCTCATAAGTAGGTTAGTTTTACAACTGAAGCAGGTTAGTTTTACAACTGACCGGAATTTTTAAGATATTTGACTTTTCTAAAGAATATTACTGGAGAATTTTTCTCGAAATAAACTTCTATATAAGTCTTCTTACAGTCACATGAAATCTTCAAAGTGTCGTAAGATGTCTGTATAGTTTAGTTTTACAATCGACAATAAATAATTAAATATTTAATATTAATTAAAAGACTTATTAAGAAGTTTTATACCAGAAGACTTACCAAGAAATATCTTTTAGTTTTATTCTGAGATTCTGGTCAAGTCCATAGTTTTTAAAGCATAGAAGAAGTCTGTAGATTGGAGATCTCTCCATTCATGCTTCTTCAGTTCCACATAATTTAGGAACGATTTCATCATCAGATCATTCATCTTTTTCTAGAGAAGAGAGTGATGTTTGGTAAAAACTCTAGAAACAAGAAACTGAGACCCGAACCAAGTAAAGGAGACTAAACGATGTATGATTTTGTCAAATAAAAGTAGGGTTTTTTGGTTACTTTTCTCCGACAAGAAGAACTGCAAAAGTGAGACAAAAACGAGTTCATCAGTGGCGTAAACTAAAGACTTGTAAGATAACCATAAAGAAGAAGATGAATTACCCAAAAAATGATTGATACGCAAGAAACAGTTCGTCACGGTCTTCTCGTTCCACAATTTCTATCAAATAAAAGAATTATTCAAAATTTAAAAGAGAATTTAAAAAAAGATCTTTATCAAACCGATTTTACATTTTCGTTCCGCTTAACAGGCTAATTAAAAGGTTACTAGCGCTATGCGTAATAATAATAAATTTAAAAGAATATATTATTTAAAAAAATAACTGTTTTTAAAAAAATATTAATAATATAAGTAATTTTATTAATTTATATTTTTTGGTTTTTCATTTTTTTATATTTAGGTTTATTTAAATCTAAACTATATAATGAATTTTATTTATATATTTGATTGTATAAATTTTAGTTTTTATTTTAGTTTAAGATATTAAAATAATACATAATTTATTAATTAACTGATTAAATATGAAATATATTTATATTTAAATGATATAAAATAATTTATTAATTAACTAAATGTGTCAGACTAAAAATCACTCAACAAACGCATTTTCTCGTGATTATATGCTAAGAATTGTACTAATTTGGTGATTTGACTAGTCTTTATACCAATTAATGAATTAAAAATAATAAAACACTTAATTAACAGATATTTTCATCGTTAAATGTGAAAATTTTAAATATATACATATTTTACAAGGGTAATTCTCTTAAATAGTTTTTTAAAAAAGAATTTGTCACAAAAATAGAATTTAAAAACTAAAATGACCAAAATAGTATTTTTTATTTTAAAAAATTGAAATTCTTTTTAAAAAAATTTAAAATCATATCCGCAAAACCATACTTCTCTCCCCAAAACTCCACTTTTAAACTCTAAATCCTAAACTCTAAACCCTAATCCCTAGACCCTATACCTTAACTCTAAACTCTAATTAATCTTAAAAGTATAAATGTATATTTATGATAAAAACCTTTCTAGATCTATCCTAAAGAATTTCAGTTTTTTTTTTAAAGCAGCTCAGTCTTCTCAAAACGCAGTCGTCTTATAATTCACAGTAGCATCAAAATGTATACTAAGTGTTGACCTTTTTCATTGAACATTTTCGGTCAATATACTCGTATTCAAAAATTACAAAACAAAGCTGATTCTACATGTCCAAGTTCATGATGCTTCTTGTTGTGCATCTTGTTTTTGTGTCTCAGCCTCCAACTTCCTAAGAGTACTCGAACTTATCTTATTTCCACTTGATCCATCAGAAACTATTTCCACAATCTCGATCTGCAACAAGCATGGTCCAAGAAAGAAAAAAACATAGGTTTGATGATTGAAGATCATAAAATGCATCAGGAAATTGGTGGATAATAAAAGAGGAACCTTGAGTTGAGAAAGACCTCTTTCTGCTCTCTTTCTGTTTGTACAATCAGCTCAGGTTTGATTAACTACACAATAACAGTGAGACAGAAAGTAAATAAGAGTTAACTATTAACTCATATCTTTTGGTCACATTAGTTAATTCACATGTCATCACACTATTCAAGTAGCTAATGAGAGAAAATGTAATAATATGCTCTACAAATTACCTTGACATAGTTCTCCACCTGAAGCACCCTTTCTTCAATGGGTTGTATCATCTCAGAGAACTATACACACAAAAGAGTGAAATGAGGAGAAATAAAAAAGACCTCAACAAAGCAGCGTAGCAGTTTCCAGCTCTAAACTGAAGAAATGTTCGTTACAGGTCCAATTTGCAAATGCTAAACGATGTGAGAGAGTCATCGTTGTTTACTTGCTTGTTCGCCAACATTGGACCATCACATACTCCAACCACTATTCGATCCCTCGCCAGCTCCCCCGCCGCCTGATTCCGATAAATTACGTTCTCAAGAAAACAACCCATACATCAGCAGAGAAAAAAAGAAGAAGCAAATTACTTTAAGGAATGTTCGATGTCCATCGTGCAATCTATCAAACGTACCACCTAAAACGACAGAACCGAACGAATTCGCCCTTGAATCCTCCGCTGCTGTCATTTTCGAAGACGAATTCGTCGTAGAAAGACAGACCCTTTGAATCTCGTTCGTATCTTAATTGTGTTCCGGTTCGAGCTCGTTAAATCAGTTTAAACCGAAATAGCGTACCGGTCGGTTCAACATAATATGGATTCAATTTTCGTTTAAGATATAGACCGAAAGAAAACAAAATCACTTTTTTTTTTATATATTTCGTAACGCTTCACCGTATCCGCAACTTGTATCATCATCATCTTACAAGAGAGAGCAGAATCAGAAACCGAATCATTAAGCCGAAAACGAACCAAGAAATTTATGTTCTCAAATCAGACAACTTGCTGTTGCTCTTGCTGCTGCTTTATTGGCTTGAAGCACTCTTGCAAGAAGTTGTGTAGATGTGAGGAATACATGTCACGAAACTTCCGGTAGTGATCGACATGTGGAGACGACTTGAAATTGAAACTATGTACGTTTCTTCCAATCTTCTTCTGTTCTTTAATCCGGAGTTCTATTGAATGAGACGGAACAACTTTGTCCCCTGAGCTGTAAAGATAAAGCTGAGGGCATGGAGGATGGTTCTCATAGAGTTTCTGGGTGATTCTCGTTAGCCTCCTGCAAAACAAACATTTAAGCTCAGAACCAATTACTAACGTGTATCAAAAAGGAGATAGTTTGAAGCTTACATGTTGACTTCTGGGATGTTTAAGACCATGGGGAAGAGTTTCTCTAGAGATGATAGCATCATGCTTTCGATTCCAAAAGGTTCCTTCTTTTGCTCATCTTCTTCGTTTCCGGGACTGTTTGGTTCAGTGTTAATGGTGGAGCTACGTTTCTTCAGTATAGCAGCAGTAAAACCAGCTGCCCAGATCTGCAAGTAAACCAAGAAACTATGGTTTAATCTTTACAATAACATATCTAATGTCACTCCAATGATTAAGATGTGTATAAAGACTATACTATTACAACAGATGAGAGAAGACAATGCGGAAACGCAAGAAAATACACTACTGAGTTATACGACATTCAAGGTATATCAACATACTTACATACACAATGTCTGAGTACACTAAGTTTCAACATAAGGGTCTTATTTGAGAGAAACATCGTAAGAGAACAAACCTTGGTATCTAGAGGATCTACTCCTCCTGAATCAACGATACAACCCTTAATCTTTTCTACCAACTCTTGTCTGACCACGAAGCTCTCCAACAACGCACCATAGCTGCCATAATAGAATCAATAATGAAATAAAGTGTTTGCTAATTTCACGCATTCTTACCCACAAAGCCAAAGANGAGAAACATCGTAAGAGAACAAACCTTGGTATCTAGAGGATCTACTCCTCCTGAATCAACGATACAACCCTTAATCTTTTCTACCAACTCTTGTCTGACCACGAAGCTCTCCAACAACGCACCATAGCTGCCATAATAGAATCAATAATGAAATAAAGTGTTTGCTAATTTCACGCATTCTTACCCACAAAGCCAAAGACTAATCATCATCATCATTCATCAGTAACCAACACCAAACCAAACACTACTTTGAACACATTTTTGCTTTTCTTAACATTTCTAACACATCAAGCATAGAATCAAAAGGCACGTGCAGCATGGGCTAGTTTGTGATTAACATTTTCAACACATCATCATCAGTATGAGAAGATTAAAGTGTTTAATCATCATCATCAGTAACCAGGCACTAATTTCAACACACTTTTTGCATTTCTTAACACATTTAACACATCAAGCAGAGAATCAAAAAGGCACAAGCAGCATGGGCTAGTTTGTGAGTAACAATTCTTAACATTTTCAACACAATTTTTTTGGTTTTGTTTCAACACATTAAGACAAGTCAAACCTTCATCAATCAGTAATAAGAAGACGAGATGGATAATCAAACCTACACAAGCCAACCAGTGTTACTGAAACTATGGAACACCAAGCACCTCTCTCTACCGTCCTCTTCTTTCTCCGACACCCAATTAACCAACTCATCCCCAAACTCAGCTATCCGCCGTTCAAGCCGCCGTCCAAGATCCAACCGAACCAAATCCTTAACGTCGACGGTAAAAGTAACGGCGTTAATTCCTCTAGAATTGTACCACTCCACATATCTCCTCAGGTGTTTCGCTTTCGCTCCTAACCAACCGAGGAGAACCACCGTCGTCTCTTTCCCGTTCTCTCCGAACGTATTGGCCTTTCCTCCTCCGTTCACGACTCGTGGAGCTAGGTTCCAGATGGCTACGCCGTCGTTGGGTTCGGATCGGAGTGGGTTCGCGTGGACTGCGGAGTTCTGGGGGTGGAGGTTTGAGGTGAGGGAGAGGAGGGATTTGAAGAGGTTGTGATTCGAAGGAAGGGATGAGCAGCGTGTACGAGCGGCATTGCGAGAGGGGAAACAGAGGTTGTTTGTGGATTTGAGAGAGAGGGAATATGGGTTTACATTGATCTTGGTGAGAAGGACGCGATGATTGAGAGAAGAAGTGTTGAAGATTCTTGCTGTTGCTTCCATGGCGAATTCTTCGTCGGGTGGCTCACGGTTCCATCTGAAAAGTCAGTTAAAGGAAAGTAACATACGGAGTATTTGGGAAAATCAAACACTCTGATTTAACCAGCGGGTTTCGTTTCGTCGGGTCTGATCTGGTCTAAGAGTCTCGGATCTGTACCCGCAGCACCACCTCTCCCCTTGAACTTAGTGTTAACCACGTTACCTGAATTAAAATTTGAATAAACTTCAATCAAAGAAACATAATAGAACGTTGCAACTCTACTACGAAAACCAAATTAAGTGTAGACAATAAGAACAAAGTTTGTAAAACTCCCATAGAATCTATCAAGTTTATAAATATCAATCCCCATCGTTTTCGTAATCTAGCACCAGTCCACAAAAAAAAAAAAAAAACGAGCACACAAAAAAACACACATTTCATGAGTTATATCTTCTGTTTTAATATAATAAACTAGATTTTGATCCGTGTTTTCAAAATATGGATTTATGTTTGATGTAAACTTTATATAATTGCATTCCTATACATGTTGAATGTGGAATAGACTTGTTTAGTTCATTAATTTCATCAAACATAGTATTTTTAGAAATGCAGGATAGTCTTTCGATGAAAATTTTATATGACCGCATTTTTGTTTTATATAAGTAGACACATGTATAAAATCTATAACTCAACATTTAAACTCAATCTAAACAAAAAATTTTGGATCCGTAACCGGTCAAAAATCTAAAATATATCATAATGAATTTTGTAGGATGGTACAAAATCTATCCGAATCAAAGTGTTATTAGCTAGACCCAAACAAATAACCAAAAAACCAAAAAAACCTGAAAAAAAAAATCTGAATCGATCTGAATATCCAATTTAAACATAAATATAAATATTTGAAACATATATATCTAGTTTAAATATGCAGTTCTATATATATTTTAAAATGATATTTAAAATTAATTATCTAAATTTTAAATAAGTACTTAATATCTAATTCTATATAAATAAGTATTTTTTTTTGTTTTGGTTTTAGATTTTAGATTTCCAAACCAATATAACCCGAATCCGAACGATATATGGTTACTTTATTGGTTTTAGGATGTGCACAAATTATAAACAAACCCCACGTGTTATATTTGAATATGATTCATACTTACAAATATGTCTACTTATAAATTATGCACCTATGATGTGATATTAGTTAGCTTTGATCCAAAATATTCGACCCGTATCCCAATAGGTACTTGAACTCCCAAACATTACTTAAAATATGTTTATATTTTGTTAAATTAATTTTATATTTGATAAATATTTTGTTTTTTTATTGGAATAACCCATAAAATTATAATCATAAAAATATCAATAATAACATGTTTCATCGTATAATTAAATATTAATAGTAGCTATTATTAATATTTATTTTATAAAAAATATATATATAAAATATTTAAGACTTTATCTATGATAATTATATTATTATGTATTGGCGGTTTGAAAAATTTGTTTATTATTATTTCATGTATCAGTTACATATAATTAAATATTAATTTTGTATATCCTAATGTTTTACTTTAGATATGTATATTAAAATATAATTTTTTTTTTTTAAATATCTTATGGTAGTATTTTGTTATTCTATAAATGTAATTCATTTAGTTTATAATTTACAAAAAATATAGAATTAAGTTATTTTGTAATTATTATTTAGTGTAATTGGTAACTACAAATATGAAATATTTATATATAATAGATTATAGAAGGTTATCTCTTATTCTATAAATCAAAATGAGATAATATTAATTTTTAATTTAATTTAATATTATTTTATGTTTTTTTTTATTAAAATAATATTAAAACAGTAAATATTTATTATTAGAATAAAAATATATTAAAGATATTATTAAAATGTAATCTGGAAAAGTAGTAAAGAGTATCTTTTTGATATCTTATTTTGAATATATTTAAATATTATATTAATATTATGTGTTTATTTAATAATACTTAAAATTGTTGTATGTAACATAACATAAAATTAAATAAATGTAATGTTTTAACCTAGACTACTTGCAAGTAAATAAAATGTGCTTCTGTTTTAATAGTATTGATATGAAAACTTTCACATAAACATATTGATCTAATCAAACCATTATAACATCCAATCTATCATGCCACAACCTAAGAGCATGCCCATTAGGGGATTTAAGGGGGAGTTCACACGTTTTTCGAGAGGAACAATGATGAATTCGGCGCGCGTGGGTTCGTCGTGATGAACCTGGTTCGTCACGGGTTCGCCACGTGGCAGGCTGTGATTCACCAACTTTTTTTTTTTTGAAAAAGTAAAATTAAAAAATGAAAAATTTACTTAGGATTCTGTGCCTGCCCAGTATCATTGATGGGCATGCTCTAAGAACATGAAGAATGTTTTTTTCAACACTAAAGAATCACTTTGAGGAACAAAGAATGAACTTTCCATAAAATGCAATACTCATTCACATATGTTAGCATATCCAGATCAAATTTGTTAAAGCTATGCTAACCGGGTTCCACAAGTAAGATCCCTTCGATTGATCTTAAAAGATCGAAAACTCTGAACGTAGCTCCTTTTTCAGCCAAGATTCTTGCAATCCTCATTGCTTGATCCTCGTTTCCACATATAGTTGGACATCACTTTTTATAATGTTATTTAACCTTCCTCACCAATAATCAATGCCTTAATTTAATCTCTACGATTATTTATTTATTTGATTCCTGCATAATCGATCGTTCTTTTTTATAGTCTTACATCGATGACAGATAACTAGTTGAATTTGAACTCGCATTGTCCAATGGCTGAACTTCTTGAATTGGCTTTGATCGTTCCATGATCAATTTACCTCAACTCAACCTTTTTCCGTACACACTTTTATAAACAAAAATATTCGAGGAGCTGGTCATTACACTACCTCTCAAGACTCTGAAATGTTTCTCCTGATCCGTTTATAAAAATTACATCTGTGTTCTTACAGATTGATGATAATCAAGATTCATCATGAAGCAACCAAACTCCAGAGTCTTAAGTAGTTTTCCTTAACTACTTCTGTGAGGCAATTAGGAACAGAGAGTACTGAATGATGTTAACATAGCTTTGTGGTATTAGCTGTCGACACAGCAGAGAATCCAAGCCAATTCCCTCATCAAGTCATGGAATCCAAACCATTATGTTATCTAATTAAAAATCATATAAGTACACTAATCATAATGGAAATATTCATAGTTCTACATCCATATCCATAAGAGTACATAACCACAATGAAAGACACATAACCACAATGAAAGACTTGTTATGAATCAACCATGGCTTATATACAACATAAAAGCAGTAAGAGACGACACATTCAGATCCTGGTTGTATAGTGCCCTTCTAAATTGTAATACACCATGTGGAACTCCTTTTTACTTGTTTTCAGATGAAAAAAATGTACCTTCCAAATGTTACATTTTCTGTAAATTTCTCTTTGTTGTGGTTTAATTCCATAGATGTTCTCTTTCAGAAAAAAAAAAATTCATGTTTTTGGGATGAAATCTATATGTAGTTTATTGAAATAACACTTCAAATTTGACAGTTTGTAGATGATTATTCCACATACAGATAACAGATGACAAATCTAAAGCTTCTTTGATCTGAGTCCCTCCATTCGTGATAACGTAAGCCCCCAAAAATCTTAAAAATCCAAAACCGAATACTCTTATTCTTTAGGGGTCTTTAGAACCGAATATTAACTTTACATTTTGGATGACACCTTCGATTCTGGCCGTCTAGTTGAAGGTCACCTAAACATCAGTCTCACAAATACGACACAACTGTGGTTAGGTGGCCTGGCACAGTTCAATTATTATAACTTTTTCTTTCATTTGCATACTGAAAAAACAGATACTTATTAAAGAAAGAAAAACAAAAGAGATGGTCACGTTGCTACTAGAGCCTAGCGACCAACTTTTATGTGTGCATGTGCATAGTTACTATAATGTGGTAACTAAACCATGCAACATGTGTCTTCCTGCCTAACAGTTTTTCTGTGAATCGTGCCAATAGTTGCATAATTAAGAGATAAAAGTTTGGTGATGAAACGAGTCGTCCACAAAATGTAACCGCCATTTACGTGTAATAGCAACTTGGTTACATTTTAGCAAAAAATAAAAACATAAAAATCTAAAATTTTCGATCATTTTTCAGAAGGGTTTGTGAGATAATTGAATTCATTTATTTTCATTCACATGTATAATGTAATAAAAGTATGAGCAAAATTCATATACGCAAAAAAAATAAAAAATTATCAATTTCTTCTGGTCTTGCAAATATCCACATAATTCACCCTTCCTTTAACGTACAAAATAAGAAAATGTAGCAAAAAAAAAAAAACAATTAATAAGAAGGAAAGCGCCTAATTCTCAGTACACGCGTCACATGTAGATTTGTCACTCGGATGCTTTTTTGGCAACATCAATGTCGTCCTTTTTTTNAAATAAAAAATTATCAATTTCTTCTGGTCTTGCAAATATCCACATAATTCACCCTTCCTTTAACGTACAAAATAAGAAAATGTAGCAAAAAAAAAAAAACAATTAATAAGAAGGAAAGCGCCTAATTCTCAGTACACGCGTCACATGTAGATTTGTCACTCGGATGCTTTTTTGGCAACATCAATGTCGTCCTTTTTTTGTTATAGAAAAACGAATTTAAAAAGCTAGAATAAAACGACATCCGTCGGATCCATCCCCTTTCAAACTCAACGTACAAGATTCATCGTAGGATTGACGAAGAACAACAACCAAGGAATAGGTGACGTCACCGTCTCCTTCCTCCAACGTCCATAAAGAAAGCGCCTACACTCACACACACACACACCAATACTGCTACTGTAACTGCTCTTCTAACAAGCGAAGAAAGAAAAGAAGACTACGTTACGGAATCTCTTCTTCAGCTTCAAATCGCATATGTAAGATCATCATTCCTCCGTTCGATTCGTTGATCTTA